ACACTAATATATATTTTAGTGTCGTGTCCATGACAGGCTGATTATTAGTAGCAAAAGCCAAGATAGATTCTTGGAGCTCTCAAATATCATCAAGGAAGAAGTCTGTAACACTCACCTCTGCCAAAGCTGAATGAACAGGAGACAGACTTTACCTTGAATTAGCAGGGTTTGTGTTGCTTGAGGAAGCCTGGAAAACAAGGCTGCTGTGGTGAGAGGGGCCAGAGATTGCTCCCCTGCTGTTATGCCTCATGCCTGTTTTCTTTCAGCCCTGGATGTAAGGAAGCTGTAAGGGGCCACCACCACCATCTTGGCCATGAGGACAGAGCGGAGGAGAAAAGAATTCAGTCATGAGACCCGGTTGGTTAGCATCTTTCCTCTTGCAGGGCATGTTCTCCTAGTGTGGCTGATACTCTGGGGCCAAAAACTGCCACTCTTCCTTTGCTGGATGGTGCTATAATGTGCTCCGTAAGGCCACTGCTGTACACAGCTATAAAGCTAAGCAGCCATCTGCCTTTTGCACCAGTTACGTGCCTCCCTCCCCCTGAACATTCCCATTTTAAGCTGACCTTGCTAGGCATGAGATCCAATTGACCTCAGTGTGATCAGGTTTTTTTTTTTTTTTGCTGTGTTAGGAGAACAGCCTGCCTTTCCTCCAGTGGCTAAGACCTCTCCAAGCCCCTTCTGTAGTTGAGAAGAGAGGTTATGTGATTACTTATAAAAAAGAAAGAAAAAAGTATATATCTTTATATATACACTATATTGCCGAAAGCATTTGGATGCCTGCCTTTACACGCACATGAACTTTCTGGGCATCCCAGTCTTCATCCGCAGGGTTCAATAATGAGTTGGCCCACCCTTTGCAGCTATCACACCTTCAAATTTTATGGGAAGTCTGTCCACAAGGTTTAGGAGTGTGCCTATGAGAGTGTTTGAACATTCATCCAGAAGCATATGAGTGAGGTCAGGTACTAATGTTGGACGAGAAGGCCTGACTCGCAGCCTCCGCTCTAATTTATCTCAAAGGTGTTCTATCGGGTTGAGGTCAGGACTCTGTGCAGAATAATCAAGTTCCTCCACCCCAAACTCAATCAGATATGTCTTTATGGACCTTGCTTCGTGCACTGGTGTGCAGTCATCTTGGAACAGGAAGGGGCAATCCCCAAACTCTTCCCACAAAGTTGGGAGCATGAAATTGTCCAAAATGTCTTGGTATGCTGGTGTTTTAAGAGTTGCCTTCATTGAAACTAAGGGGCCAAGCCCAACCCCTGAAAAACAACCCCACACCATGATCCCCTTTCCACCTAACTTTACGATTGGCACAATGCAGTCAGGCAAGTACTATTCTTCTTGCAACCGCCAAACCCAGACACATCCATCGGGTTGCCAGACAGAGAAGAGTAATTCATCACTCCAGAGAACATGTCTCCACTGCTCTAGAGTCCAGTGGCGGCATGCTTTTATACCACGGCATCCAATGCTTTTCATTACACATGGTGATGTAACGATTGGATGCAGCTAGTCCATGGAAACCCATGAAGCTGAAGGTCACATGAAGGTCTGAAGGTCACATGAGGCTTGAAGGTCTTTAGCTATTGACTCTGCAGACAGTTGGGGACATCTGCACACTTCACAATGCACTGACGCTCTGTCATTTTATGTGGCCTACCACTTCCCAGCTGAGTTGCTGTTCCCAGTTGCTTCCACTTTGTTCAATACCACTAACAGTTGACTGTGGAATATTTAGTAGCAAGGAAATTTCAAGTTTAGAATTATTGCACAAGTGGCAACCTATCACGGTACCACATTTGAATTCACTGAGCTCCTGAGAGCAACCCATTCTTTCACAAATGTTTGTAGAAGCTGTCTGCATGCCTAGGTGCTTGATTTTAATTTTATACACCTGTGGCTATGGAGGTGATTGGAACACCTGAACCCAATGATTTAGAGGGGTGTCCCAATACTTTTGGAAATATAGTATGTATATATATATATATATATATATATATATATATAAATACAGTATATGTATGAGCATATTGCCTTTCTTTTCTATTTTAAACTGAATTGGTTGTTTCACAAGGTGAGGGTTCATATATACTTTAATTTTCGAAAAGCTGTTCTGCACGTTTTGTTAAAGTGAAATTATACCCACTTCTGCTTCAGAGATGTAATGTCTAAAAGCTCCCTAACTGGTGGCAACATCTTCCCCGGTCTTCTTCTGGGTTCAGGATCCTTGGTCATTGATCAGTGGCCTGCATCTCAAGCATGCTGCCGACACAAGTAATTTATCAAAGCTTACAGCACACTTGTTCATTAAATAAATAAATACAGAACACTCATTTTTTACTGTTTATGTAGCCTGTCTTTATTACAATAATAATAAAGAACAGTATCATTGGAATTTAAACAAAACCACATTCCAGCAGAACATCAGAAAGCTGTATGTAAAGCCAATTAGACTGAACATTTTATCTAACATGAAAGTGAAGTAGCACCAGTATTCTCTCAAAGTGGCTGTCAAAGCTGGTCCTTCACATGTGTTTTTATGGCCTATTTATTTACCATTTCTACATTTGCATGAAGCAAATATGGAGTAGAAAATGCCACAGGGAAAACATGTTGCTATGCAAATGGAGAGAGAATTATAAATAGAAAAAGAGTAGATAATGTTTAGTTAGATAATGTTGTATTCTTCATTAGGAACTGTTCTAGCCTGTAATTTTTGATGACAATAAGACACACATTGATTACATTTTTGCAAATTAAAAAAAATATACACATTTAAAATATGTAGCATTTTTGAATTAGTTCAAGAAAATAATGTTTACAATAATCACTTCAGCTTTTGTTATAAGAGTGATTATATGTTTGTTCCATTACACAGTATATATAAGCATTGTAGAACGATAAATGAAGTTTAAAAATATTCTAGATGTTACCTTGACATTTCAAAATGTCAAATATAGTTAGATATATTCATAGTTAATTTGCTGACTTTTTCAGAAGAACAGGAATTATGAGATGCAGAGCTGGTCATGGAGGTAATTGTTCGCCTGATACAGTCATTCCCTGCAGCAATACAGCATTACAGCTAGTAAAACGAAATGCCATTCGATGTAGCTGCTGGATGCACATCAATGCACAATTAAGTGAAACGCTATTTCAAACTTGTGATCGGCTTAAAGCAGAACTCCAGCAAAAAATGAATAAAAATAAACGAATAGCCCATAGTACTGTTTTACAAAACTAGATGTCCTAAATCTTCCAGGTTGAATGACAACTAGAGCCTGAAGGCCTTAGAGGGGATTTCAACCAAAATGTCTGGCTAGTTCTTTTAGCTCTGTATTTCTGTTCAGTTTTGCATGAAACATATCAAAAGGCTAGGTTGAAAAACAGCAATCTGCTACACTTTGTTGTGTCTAATGTTTTACAAGCAGGGGCGGACTGACCATTTGGAAACTTGGGCACTGCCCAAGGGCCCGGGGTCAGTAGGGGGCCCCATGAGATGCCCCTGGTACCTTTTTCATAGGCTTTTTTGAGTTTGGGCAAGGACACAGGGGCCCCATGATCCCCTATTGCCCGGGGGCCCCATGAGTTGTCAGACCGCCCCTGTTTACAAGCATTTAGAAACATAGACAAAAGGAAGATCAATGGAAACAAAAAAGTGAAAATATCTTGAAGAGCTGTCCAGACACCTTGTGCCATTCACCACAGGTAAGAATGGCCCCTTATCAATAAAGATTGATCCCTACAACAGAGATCAAGCAAGCATGTTGATATCAAGCATCCAGCTATACGGTTAAAGTCGCCAGCTTTCAGCCTTGGACATTCCATAGGTCAGCAAGTTAGGCCAGGCAGCACCCACATTCATAGGAAGGAACAGAGGCCGCATACTGTATAGTGTAAAACTGCCACATTAACGTTTATTAAAAATTAATAGGCACTTACAGAGGTAGATCAAGAAGCAGCATGTACAAACAAGTAACAGTGCCTAGCCAGTATCACCCAGTAGGCGTGATGACAACACCAGTCAAGCCCCAGCCAATGGTTTTCACCATTAAACAACGTTGTCAGGGGAACGGGTGCTCCTGCCTAATGACACTGATGACACGTTGGGCAATGCTTGACTGATGACATCATCACACCCATCAGGAAATGCTGGCTAGGCACTGTTACATTTTTGTACATGCTCCTTTATGATCTACCTCTGTAAGTACCTGTTCATTTTTAATATAAGCAATGTGGCAGTTTTACACTATGTGCAGCCTCTGTTCCTTCCTATGAATGTGGGTGCTGCACGGCCTCACTTGCTGACCTATGAAGCGCCGGAGGCTGAAAGTTAGCGACTCTAACCAGATAGCTGAATGCTTGATATCAACATGCTTGCTTGATCAGTCTTATTTGTTGAGACCACACAGGTTAGCGATGAAACTGCATGAACACCCATGGCTTCTAATGCCATTTCTATGCTGATGACACCCAAATCTATATTTCTACCCCTCAGCTCACACCATCAGTCTCCTCACACGTTTACTAACAGATAAACTGTATCACTATGGATGTCACACCACTTCCTCAGACTCAGTCTATCCAAAACTGAGCGCATAATGTTTCCTCCCCCATGTGCCCCTTACCTTGACTTCTCTGTCGAGGTTGAAAGCACAACAATTAGTCCCTCCCCACATGCCAGGGTGCTAGGTTTAACCCTGGACTCTTAACTCTCTTTTCAGCCCCACATCCATGCATATGCTTCAATTGAATGGGATTTCAAAATGCAATGCAGAGAAATGGGCTGGAATCACACAGGAACATGCACGTCCTAACTTCAACTGGCCCTTAGGAGCATACAATGAAGAGTTTGGCCCCGGCATCACCAAACCTCTGCTCACGACTGACTGCATACGTTGCCTAATGTTCATTGGAAATGTCATATGGCAGTGATAGCGAATCTTTTAGAGACTGAATGCCCAAACTGCAACCCAAAACCCACTTTTTTTATCTCAAAGTGCCAACACTGCAATTAAACCTGAATACTGAGGTTTTAGCTTAGAAAAAACAACCTATACATTAACATCTTTTGTCTTAATTGAAATACACACTAACAAAGCTTCCACTGACCATCTGCACAAGGGGACAAAGTTCCACTGACCACCTGCACAAGGGGACAAAGTTCTACTGACCACCTGCACAAGGGGGCAAAATTCTACTGACCACCTGCACAAGGGGACAAAGTTCCACTGACCACCAGCACAAGGGGACAAAGTTCCAATGACCACCTGCACAAGGGGACAAAGTTCCACTGACCACCTGCACGAGGGGGCAATGTTCTACTGACCACCTGCACAAGGGGACAAAGTTCCACTGACCAACTGCACAAGGGGAAAAAGTTCTACTGACCACCTGCACAAGGGGACAAAGTTCCACTGACCACCTGCACAAGGGGGAAAAGTTCCACTGAGCACCTGCACAAGGGGACAAAGTTCCAGTGACCACCTGCACAAGGGGGCAAAGTTCTACTGACCACCTGCACAAGGGGAAAAAGTTCCACTGACCACCTGCACAAGGGGGCAAAGTTCCACTGACCACCTGCACAAGAGGGCAAAGTTCCACTGACCACCTGCACAAGGGGGCAAAGTTCCACTGACCACCTGCACAAGGGGAAAAAGTTCCACTGACCACCTGCACAAGGGGACAAAGTTCCACTGACCACCTGCACAAGGGGACAAAGTTCCAGTGACCACCTGCACAAGGGGGCAAAGTTCCACTGACCACCTGCACAAGGGGGCAAAGTTCTACTGACCACCTGCACAAGGGGGCAAAGTTCTACTGATCACCAGCACAAGCTAAAATCTTGTGTTAATAAAAACAAATGTATTAAAACTCACAGCCAGTCCAATATATATATCCTTGGCAGTGCACTGACCGGCCATGCGAAAACGTGGACGAGTCCCGGCTAATGAGTTTAGCTCATGATATCATTGCCTAGCACCGCTCCTTTCCAAGCATGCGCATGTCCCCTATGTGCACTGTTATCAGATGCTCAGCTGCTGGGGTGATGCTGGGGTGACTTGGCTCATGTACTAACAGAGAGGGCTCTGCATGTCCACTGCGGCACGTGTGCCATAGGTTCTCCACCACTGTCATATGATTAAGTGCTAACTTATATGCCTTTTTGCTACTATATTTATTTATTTTTTCAGCATACACATTTATGGTATGAAAGATTTTATTGCACGTGTTATACATGAATCATGCCCAACATAGACAATGGTCATTTACTGACTTATTGTAACCCCTTACTCAAACCCTAACATTGAATAGTACTTCTAAATGTAAGCCTTTACCTGAACCTAATCAATAGACCTAAATCTTATTCTGAACCTAACCCCTGTTTGCAGTTCTTAACCTGTTAATGTTAAAACTTCAGTTGAAATGCATACTATCAGAGAATGAGCACTGTTCTTTATCTTAATAAATACTATTGCCATCAGCAAACATATTACCCCATTGAAAATGCATTCATGAAAAGCTTTGGCCCAAAGATGCCAAAGAAGAAGAATCTCTCCCTCTCTACTGGTGCATTACCCTCCCCCCTAAAGCATGCGCACATCACCCCCATACTCAAAAAGCCCTCCCTGGACCCCACAGACCCAAACAACCTCAGACCCATCTCCCTGCTGCCACTCACTTCCAAGCTCCTTGAGCGCTTAGTCTTCGATCGCCTGAGCACCCACCTAACTGACAACAACCTCCTTGACCCACTACAGTCCGGCTTCCGTCCCCAACACTCCACCGAAACCGCCCTCCTCAAAATCATTAACGACCTACTAACCGCCAAAGCCAAAGGCGACTACTCTGTCCTCCTTTTCCTGGACCTCTCCACGGCCTTCGACACAGTTGACCACCCCCTCCTTCTTAATAAACTACTCTCCCTTTGCATCAGAGACACCGCTCTCTCCTGGTTTTCCTCCTATCTATCCCAACGCTCCTTCAGCGTTTCCCACAACGGTGCCACCTCCCCTCCCCCTCTCTGTTGAGGTCCCCCAAGGCTCTGTCCTCGGATCCCTTCTCTTCTCCATCTACACCTCCTCCCTTGGCAAACTCATACACTCCCACGGCTTCAACTATCACTTCTACGCTGATGACACTCAAATTTACCTCTCCACCCCTCACCTCACCCCCACAGTCTCCGCCCGCATCACTCACCTCCTAAACGTCATCTCAGACTGGATGTCACTCCATTTCCTCAACTTAACCTCTCCAAAACCGAGCTCCTCGTCTTTCCCCCTGCCCACACACCCCCCCCCCATCCTATCCATCACTACCAACAACACCACCATCAATCCCGCCCAGCAAGCCAAAGTCCTTGGCGTCACTTTGGACTCAAACCTTTCCTTCCAACCTCATGTCAAATCACTTACAAACACATGCAGGCTCCACCTCCGCAACATCGCCAAGATACGCTCCTTCCTTACCCCAGAGACACCGCTAAGCTACTCGTGCACTCCCTGATTGTCTCGCTCCTTGACTACTGCAACTCCCTTCTTACCGGCCTGCCCAGGCACAGGCTCTCCCCACTTCAGACCATCCTGAACTCAGCGGCTAGACTCATCCACCTCACCACCTGCTCCACCTCTGCCACCCCGCTCTGCCTATCCCTCCACTGGCTCCCGGTTGCCCAACGCATCAAATTCAATCTGCTAACCCTGACCTACAAAGCCATTCACAACACTGCCCCTAACTACCTCACCAACCTGATTCCCAAGTACCACCCTACCCGTACCCTTCGCTCCTCTCAGGACCTCCTTCTGTTCACTGGAGATTGCCATCTTCAAACACTTGTAGTTTTAAAAGTATAAATGCTACCGTGAAAAGGTTTATATTGTGACATTCACAAGAAACAGACCTAAATTTTGATATATAGTATGTCTCTGCAATATTAAAAATTAAGGCACAGTCGCAGTTTAAAAATGTCCCTTAACATTTCAGGTGGCTGTGAGTGAAGTTTCAATGAAAGTCAATGGGAGGGGTGAGTTTCAAACAAATGGTCATATTCTGAAAACTATCAGGAGTATGTCTTAGCCGTGAACATTTTTAGTGACAGCAGGGTTAGCTGAACGTTTTGATATAAGATATGTGTAGGTGGGCTTGAAAATGTCAGAGTGATGGCAGTTTACAAATCATGTTCTGATTTTTCCTTCTACACTCTAGATTTGTCATTTCTCACTCTAGTTGCTCAATGCATTCCTATGGGAAAATTTCGCCACAAAAACCACGATATTTCTTGAACGATTTGGCGAAACGTTCCACTCAAAGTAATAGCAATCCGATCGGGAACAATCCGCACGTTTTGATAATTTACTTGTCTTTGTAGTGTAAAAACTGTGGGAGGAGTTAGCGTGGCAAATATGGCTATAATAAGAAACGGAATAAGAACTAGAAAATCTACAATTTCTGGGGAAATTGTGTAAAGTGTTCTTGCCGCAACCTTTACCAAATGATTTATGAAATGTAAGCAGTGCACATTGCAAGCCTGATAGTGAGAAATGCATTTCAGCTTGTATTTTGAAGCTCACAGTCCAGCCTGGTGAGTCATCTGCCTCTTGAGTGACCTTTGGTTGCTGCACCTGGAGAGGGCGGAGTAGGCTCACTGTGCTGAGACAGCTGGGTTGCTATGACAACTCACTCTGAGAGGAATGTCAGCATGGCTGTTCTAAACAGGCTTTTTAAACTTGCCAAGTTCACTGGCGATTGCCATCTTAAACACTTGTAGTTTTAAAAGTATAAATGCTACCGTTTTAATATTGTGACAATCAAGAATCAGACCTTGATGGTATGTCTCTGCAATATTAAAAATGAAGGCACAGTCGCAGTTTTAAAAACGTCCCTTAAAATGTCAGGTATCTAGAGTGGAGTTTCAATGAAAGTCAATTGAGGTGCAAACAAATGGTCATATTGTGAAAACTATCAGGAGTATGTCCTAGCCGTGAAAATTTTTAGTGACAGCAGGGGTTAGCTGAACGTTTTGATATAAGATATGTGTAGGTGGGCTTGAAAATGTCAGAGTGATGGCAGTTTACAAATCATGTTCTGATTTTTCCTCTAGATTTGTCATTTCTCACTCTAGTTGCTCAATGCATTCCTATGGGAAAATTTCACCACAAAAACCACGATATTTCTTGAACGATTTGGCGAAACGTTCCACAAAGTAATAGCAATCCGATCGGGAACAATCCGCACGTTTTGATAATTTACTTGTCTTTGTAGTGTAAAAACTGTGGGAGGAGTTAGCGTGGCAAATATGGCTATAATAAGAAACGGAATAAGAACTAGAAAATCTACAATTTCTAAAAATTGTGTAAAGTGTTCTTGCCGCAACCTTTACCAAATGATTTAAAAATGTAAGCAGTGCACATTGTTATAGTGAGAAATGCATTTCAGCTTGTATTTTGAAGCTCACAGTCCAGCCTGGTGAGTCATCTGCCTCTTGAGTGACCTTTGGTTGCTGCACCTGGAGAGGGCGGAGTAGGCTCACTGTGCAAACAAATGGGTTCATATGAAACTCACTCTGATCAGGAGTCAGCATGGCTGTTCTAGCCGTGGCTTTTTAAACTTGCCAAGTTCACTGGCGATTGCCATCTTCAAAACTTGTAGTTTTAAATATAAGATATGTACCGTGAAAAGGTTGGGCTTGTGAAATGACAGAGAATCAGATAAATGTTGATGTACAAATATGTTCTGCAATATTAAAAATGAAGGCACAGTGCAGTTTAAAAACTCCCTTAAAATGTCAGGTATCTAGAGTGGAGTTTCAATGAAAGTCAATGGGAGGGGTGAGGTGCAAACAAATGGTCATATTGTGAAAACTATCAGGAGTATGTCCTAGCCGTGAACATTTTTAGTGTTGAACGTTTTTGATATAAGATATGTGTAGGTGGGCTTGAAAATGACAGAGTGATGGCAGTTTACAAATCATGTTCTGATTTTCCTTTCACATTGTACTCAGTCTAAGTGCCCCACCTTTGGTTGCAGGTCACAGGTGTGTGAGAAGCTCTGTTCTAAACACACTGCTCAAACTTGCCAACATCACTGGCGATTGCCATCTTCAAATGCTTGTAGTTTTAAAAGTATAAATGCTACCGTGAAAAGGTTTATATTGTGACAATCACAAGAAACAGACCTAAATTTTTTGATGTATAGATCTCTGCAATATTAAAAATAAAGGCACAGTCGCAGTTTAAAAACGTCCCTTAACATTTCAGGTGGCTCTGAGTGAAGTTTCAATGAAAGTCAATGGGAGGGGTGAGTTGCAAACAAATGGTCATATTCTGAAAACTATCAGGAGTATGTCCTAGCCGTGAACATTTTTAGTGACAGCAGGGTTAGCTGAACGTTTTGATATAAGATATGTGTAGGTGGGCTTGAAAATGAAAGAGTGATGGCAGTTTACAAATCATGTTCTGATTTTTCCTTCTACACTCTAGATTTGTCACTTCTCACTCTAGTTGCAGACTATTTATAAGAGCATGAATGTTGAATATATTTCCTTATATATGGTGCTCTCAAGCTTTGAAGCGGGACTGCGGCAGACATTCTGACATTGGGGGGGAACTGACTAACTGTCACTGACATCCCCAGTGACACTATTACAGTGATTAGTACTAATAAAAAGCGCTGGCACTGTACCCACGTGGAAGAAAAATATATTTTAAATATATTTTAAAAATATTCTTCCCAAATATATTGACATATATTTGAAATGCTACTATTTTGGCCATATTCAATATATTTCAAAA